TCTGATAGATCTTGCATTCGTGCTTCAGGATGCTCAAGTGCTCTTTGACGGTGCCTTTGCCGACAAACGTGTAGCCGAGCGGCGCCATCTCTAGCCTGAAAAGCACCCCAGTCGACCCACGCTTGCCCGAGCTATCGAGCGCTTGACAGCATTCATACGGATCCCGACGCAGCTGCCCAGCCATACAATGGATCAAGCTCGTGACGTTGATCAGGTGCTTGGTACCGCCTTTAACATTGTGGGAGCGCACATTAGGACAATTCTTGTCCAGCTGGTGGCCAGACTTGAGGCCAAGAAGACAGGCTTGTGTGCAGTATTGCCTCATAGGTGCTGATGCTGAGCCTTTGCGGTCGTCCTTCTTGCCCTTGCCGACGGAATCTTGACTTCGATTGCTGGCTCTTGCTGTGGTACGTGATCTAGAGCCCTCGGCCGAACCGTGCTCGTCATCCTCCCGGCGTTTGGGAAGTATCGCAGCATCCTTGCATGGTCGCGGTCGCAGTGTATAGCTGCTCTTTGCCGGAGACTCGTCACAATCAAAGGATTCATCAGGGTCCTGTGGGGGCGAAGCTGACGGGGAATCTTTGTCATCTGACTTCGGCGACGTCGCTGGATCCTTGTAATCGGTTTTTTTCCATTTTTTCAGGTGACGCGCCGTTTGATCCAATGCCGCCTCAAGCCGACGGCCTGTGAGCGCCTGCTGGCTGAGGCTCAGGAGGCAAAAGCTGGCTAGTTGGGCGACCAGCGTATGGGACACTCGACTGGTCGAAATCTCGGTCGTTTCTTGAGTCACCTCCTTGGCTGGCACGCAAAGGTGTTGACGTAGAACAAGTGGCTCTGCTCGATCGTAGTGAAGAAAGACCGATGATTTCCCAGCGGTGACTTGGCCATACGGGACCCCATACGAGCGCATGTAGTTGAAGACTTGTATGAGTGCCATGGCAATCCTCGCTTTTTCTCGCTCTTCACCTCGAATCGCCGAGTCTGTTGCGTACTTGTTAATTTGGAACCACTCGTGGACATCTGTGAATAGCGTTTCCTGGGAAAGCGCAGCTTCGACATGTTCCACGGAAAACTTGTGCGCAGCCTTATAATCATACACAAAAGCTACGCTCTTGGTCCCGTCTAAGCCTACTCGGGTGCAGGCGCCATCAGGCCTTTGTTTCCCCCTCTCACGTTTGACATCAGCTCCAATGTCTTCGCTAACTTCATTGAAGGCACGAATACCATTCACGAACGTTATACCCGTAGCTTGATACCTCTGGCAAAGCTCTTCGTCCGCCCAGATGGGTTCTAGAATGTTCCAGGTAGGGTCCTCGACTGCTGTTTTCTCGAAGTGGTCGATCGCATTTTCGTAACCGGCTTCTTTACGCTCGAAGCTCATCCCGATGTCAACTGTTGTGCTCTTCTGATGGAAAACTCGACCCTCACCGCAGACGCGGATAATATCGTTGAAGTGTTCCTGTCGATGATAGGCACTAAAGTCTGTCCAAGGGCGAAGCCACTTGGGATAGTAGTTGCCGTCGACCGAGGTTGCGAGGCCAGTAGAGCTCTCCGAAGCGCCAGCGAGCCTGAGTTTTTGGTAAATGTCGAAGTGACAGTTATGCAAGTACTCTGTCAAAGTCGTCTTTTGGTTTTTGAGTTTCTCTTTCTCCTTTTCGCGTCGTTCGTTCTCCTCACGCGCCTTTGCTTCTTCCTCACGCGCCTTTGCTTCTCGCTGCAGAGATCTAGCTTCCTTGAGCTGCCTTTGAAGATCTTCAATTTCTCTTCCTGACATTGTGGAGGCAATCGTTAAGCGTTGCTGCACGACTCTGGTGCTTATAGGCTTCGGCACGTAGCTCGTCTTGTCGCAGTAGCTTTTGGAGATCCTCTAATTGTTTTCTTATTAGCCATGGGTTCGCAACAAGGTTGGCAAGAACGCTAATCAAACTGACGGGGGCGTTTGAAGGTGTTGCCTTAGTGACCAAGCACTCTGTCGAGTTCCGCGTGATGAATGCTTAGTCATGTCATGTGATTGGTGAACGAAATGTGAGTTTGGCGGAATCCCCGCCTATTGCATAATCTGACAACCCGGGTTCTTGCTGGGCTTTTCGATGGCCCGCACCTTTGTAGTGTTTAGTTCGTCAAACAATCGTTCTCGTCTCGTCGGCCGGCGCAGATGAAGAGGGTAGAGGTTGTGCGACGATTGCGGCTGACCCAACGATGTAAGATGTTTATGGCTTTAGCCCAAAATACCATAAAAGCGCCGATTCACTATAACTAGCACCTAAATTGCCTCCTCTACCGGTAATGCTAAATCTCGTTACATTGACATAGGCACATTCACTGGGCTTCACCATTACTAGCATTCCCATTCAAGCCGAATAGCGGTATTAGCTGAGCGTCCGTGGAAGGCTTCCGTAGTAAGGATCCTTCGCGCTATATAATGAAGCAGCACCGGCTGTGTAGAGAAGGCAATTGCTCTTACTTAGCATGGCTTTAACACCATACCGATGGCGAAATGAATTGGTTCTCAAATATTCTATGACGAAGATTCAAATTTGATATATGAGCACAGGTAGTAAAATTTTCTGCGACTAGTACCAAGCTTTGCAGCCTCCTATCTCGACGTACCACCAATCGGCCTCTGCCATGACCCTGTGTTTGTTCTGGTTCGAATCGTAAATTGTCCGTTCGGCTTGGTCGCTTGTTGGCTGCCATTCATTCTTCGAGCCGCCGCGCGGGCTTTCTTGCTATATTCAAGTCGACCGTTCAGGTGCATATGACTAGAAATGAAGAAGATCACGCTAATTTTCGTCTGAGTGGGATTTTATCGTGTGAAACTGGTGAGCTCTGGCGCCACTTTGATCCTGTTTCCTTGCGCCGGGTGCCCGCTGATGCTCCGGCCGCGTTGCCTGTGTCGCCGTGGCGCAGCAGAATCGGGCAGCTGAGGTGCAGGTGCGCCACAGCGCTCTTGCACCATCGCTTCAGTGCTGAACTGCCTAATACCTAGTCTTGCTAGAATACGCAGCGTGAATTAACTAATTACTACATTATTCCAATCCTTTTATAGATAATACACATAGCAGCTTACTGATAGAACTCGCCGTCCACATCAATACAGAAGTTATGTCTGGTTATGGTGGAAAATGCGACCGTGGCGATGTTTGCTCTCGCCGTAGTGTCTCTATTGGGCTTCACTCGTCATCCGTCTTTGTTACATCCCAAACGCAACCACCCAAACACCCACTAATAGCCGCTCCTTTTTAGCCGTTACAACGCACGCTGAAAGTAAAAGGTCGAGTGGGAGCTGAAGCTGTTATTGTATCAAACGATAAGCGAAGCATGCTGCTCAGACGCTCATGCTTGACCATAGCAGTAGCCACGAGCAACGTTTGCCAATGTTTTCTCGAGCACAAATGCCCCAGCAAGCACTGAACGTCGCAGAGCGGCGAACAAACGCGCGGTTCTTCACATCGTAGCAGATTACATGGCAGTAACATTTCGTGGCAATTAGTGGAAGTTAGTGGGCCCAGGTCTAAGAATGCCTCCCTACACACGACTGCGAGCGAGCTCTGGTCGCTGTTCACTACACACGATCGAGCACTGGAGTCATGAATTTCTTAGCCAGCAAAAAGGGACGGCAAAATAAGATCGACAAGTTACATTATGCTTAAGCTAAAGATATATAGTCTTGGCATTCAAAGCTCGATTATCAGAACTAGAGTTGTTTCGTTCAAATACTTTTTTTACTCGCCGACGCGGATATTCCGAGCAAAGGCAACCTTCTTTTGAACAACCTCGACTCAGCAACGACGGGAACACTGTTGACGCAGTGCCTGACTTGTTCGACGGTAGCATAGTCGTCATCATGGACGACGACCCTTCGATGCGACGACCACCGCCGCTCAAGAGTTGCACTAAACGTTTCCCCTTTTGTTGCTGCTTACTAGCCCTGCCAGCAAAACTGCTGGTGCCTGCGAAAACAGACCAGCGCCACGAAATGCCACAAGCAGAACCTGCTGCAACAGAGGGCCCACGCACTGGAGCGCTGCCTTCCTGCAGATAGACGCTACCAGGGTGACGCGCGCTCTATCAGTATGCGATGTTTGCGTGACCGATTCGTTTTCTTGATGGCAGGGTGGAGCCACAACCGTACCATGGCCACGCCTGCATAGAAGTACTGTAGCGAACAGGACTTTGAAGCCAGTTTCAGGCCTCTGATACATTGAGCGTAGATGGGTGATACTGTTAGTATTTAGAAGTAGCGGAGGATTAAGAAAGGTCTGATATGTTGAAGATAGAGAATTGCCACACATGATAGAGTCATCAGAACCGAAGATCACACTAATCTCTTACTAGAATGAAGCTTTGCTTTCGGGAGAGATGACAATTAAATTAATGGGTAGATAAGACGATGTATAGCTACATCGACGGTGGATGGGATAGCCTATGAAAGAAGAAGTGGCGATGACTACAACGGGATTATCCAGCGACACCGGACACGTCCGTCATCATGGACCAAACAGCAAGTCGAATCAGCAGTGCGCGCCAACGCCACCACCAAGTCGATCACGGTGGTGGCGGCACACCTACTCAAGAGCGGCGACGTTCAGATTGTTACCAAAACAACGACGGAAACGAAGCAACTAACGGAAAACCAAGGATGGATCAAAAGCCTGGGCGATAAAGCGGAACTCGTCGTGCCAACCTACGGAGTTATAGTTCACGGCATCCCTACTAAATCAGTCAATATCAAAGAACAAGAAGCCACGATCCAGCAGATGCTGGCGGACAACCATACAGTCATTCTAAGCGCCAAGATTTCCTACATTGGGTGGCTTACGAAAGAGGGCCACCTCAAGCGAGCATCGTCGATCGTGGTTGAATTTACAGAACCAGAGATGGCCAATGCCATCATCTACGCCGGCTTGGTATGGGATGGCCAGATCCATCAATGCCAGCTTTATGACCGCGCCTGTCGAGTGAAGCAATGCTTCCGCTGCTATAATTACGGACATATTGGCACTCAATGCAACGCATCCCAAACTTGTGGCTATTGCGCCGAGCAACATGAGTCTAAGCACTGTATGCGGAAGGGCGTGGAGGGATTCACGCCGCGATGCGCAGTTTGCAAAGATGCTCATACCGCATGGAGCAATGCCTGCCCAGCAAGAAAGAAGGAACTCAGGAGAGTGGAGCAAGCCAAGGAGGCCCGCAGTATTTATTGGCACGTCCCTCAGAGGGATAAAGCAACATTAGGAACGAACACTCTACGAAACGGCAACACCAACCGCCAGAGAGAAACGGAAGCGGCCACTGCCTCCCAACTACCCAGAAGAATGGAATCAGTAGCAACACACGTGAACCTGGACTCGCCGTCCCCGTCCCCGTCCCCGTCCCCGTCGCCGATACTGGAAACATCAGCACCGGCCCCGCCTCAATCATCAAGAACCTTGGAAGCCCCAACCCAGCCCGTGAGAGAGGGAGGCGAAAACCAATTTCACCAACCACTAGCACCTCCTATCGACCCACAACTCACCTCCCTGGACGAATACCACTTCCCAATTCAGGCATTGGAAAGGGAAAGCGAGGGGTGCGACCCACAGCTGTCCGCCTATCCAGAAGAAGGCGTAGACGGTGGCTGTACGCAGGCTGACCTGTGGTTGCAAAATCTGGATAACGAAAACATCAACTGGCTCCCGTCTATCGCAGTCGGCGAACCATCTCCCCTCACCTCAATGGCAACGGACCCCCGTGCGTGCCGCAGCAGAGTCTACAAGGCGTGCCAATGCGATGCACATCAACAGATGTATGAAGATTGGCCAGCTCAGGATGCTGAGCTTACCATCGCCAAATGCATGAAGATTTGCATGTATTGCGGCAAAGACTTCTCCTTCGCAGCGGACCTCCGCAGACATATTAAGCTGAACTTGAAATACGTCAGAAGAAATCTGACAATTCATTATGACCCCCCGGCGACGCGAGCCTTTGCAGAACCCGGATGGAAGCACGTGCCACCATTACAAAATCGCATGACCAGGAGTCAATCCCTCACACACGGTACCAGCACAGCGCCAACCTCATGAAAGGAAACCGGGAGCTACGCATCTTACAGTACAACGTCAGGAAGTCCAAGGATATCGTCCTAGCCAGCCTCTTCCAGAATAAGCGTATCGCGGACTACGACATCCTAGCGATTCAGGAACCCTGGCGCAACCAGTTTATCAACACGTCCTACCATCCCCTCAAAACACACTTTCAGCTCATGTACCTCAACAATCCGGCCACGCGAGTGTGCCTCTACATTAATAAACACATCAACCCCAGCACATGGCAGGTGTCATATGTCTCAGCAGACATCATCTCCCTCACAATTCGCAACGACGACAAACCGATTCACCTTTGGAACGTATACAATGAGTTGGGAACCGAAACGTTGTCGGTCCTGGCAGAGGCGCTCAGCAAACAGAGTCAAGAGCAGGAAATTATTCTGCTCGGAGATTTCAACTTACATCATCCTCTTTGGTCAGCACGACATCACCGAGGGGTAGCAAGGACAAGATCAGACGAGCTTCTAACCATTGTGGAAGACTTCCAACTTCAACTCCTAACAGTGCCAGGCACCACAACCCACAGGTGGAAGGATGGAGACTCGACAATCGACCTGACCTTTGCGACAGAGAATTTGGCATCTCGTACAATTCACTGCAAGATTGTCAACCAACTGGATTGTGACTCGGACCATCTTCCCGTGGACGTGGCCATCGACTGGCATTATCAACCTGCGACACCGACAAGGAAGCGTCTGTGGGCCAAAACAAACGTGCAGGTATTGAGACAAAAAGTGAAGGAGCTTTTGCCGAACGAGCTAGAGGCAGGGGATCTGAGCAACAACCATGACATTGACGCGTACGTCGCGGCCATTGTCAAGGCATTAGATACCGGCATTAATGAGTCGACGCCATGGTCCAACCCATCTCCACGTTCAATCCAAGGATTTGATGAAGAATGCAAGGAGATTTGCAAGGAAGTTCAACAACTGCGTCGCACATGGCAACGCACAAGACAAGATGACGATTATGAAGCCTACCGGAAAGCTTGCAACCGGAAAGGTCGTCATATTCGGAAGATCCTCCGGGACGCTCACCGTCAAAGGGTGGAGGAGGCTTCGACAAACTCATCCGGCCTCTGGAAACTCGTCAAGTGGGCGAAGAATAGACATATCCCCTCGTCAGCCTGTACGCCAGCTTTGGTTATGCCTGATGGCGGACTAGCTGAGGGGCCGGAGGAAAAGGCGGAGGCGCTGCGACAGTCATTCTTCCCACATCCCTCACAGGCCGACCTGTCCGATATAGAAGGGTACCAGTATCCTCCAGCAATCGAGTGTCCCGCAATTACTCTACCGGAAATTGAGCGAGCAGTGAAATCTGCACCCCGCAGTAAGGCACCGGGTATGGACGGAATTATCAATGGCATCCTACACGAAACGATCGACCTCCTCCTTCCTTGTCTTCACAAGCTCTTCAACGCATGCCTCGAACAGGGTTACTGCCCTTCACATTTCAAAGAAACAATCACGGTGGTCTTAAGAAAGCCGGGAAAAGACGATTATTCGCAGCCAAAGTCATATCGACCAATTGCCCTCCTCAACACGCTGGGAAAGGTGTTGGACGGAGTGATTGCAAACCGACTGGCATACTTAGCTGATACCTTCCAACTCCTTCCCCGTCGGCACACAGGAGGGAGAAAGCTCACCTCAACAGAGCACGCAATGCATGTGCTCCTTCAACGCATATATCAGGCCTGGTCTGAAGGCGAAGTCGCCACGCTACTGCTGCTGGATGTGTCGGGCGCTTACGATAATGTCTCTCACGAGAGACTCCTGCACAACCTTCGAAAGCGCCGCATCGATCCAAAAGTCATTCGATGGATAGCTTCGTTTCTCAGCGATCGGTCGACAACACTCAAACTACAGGAATACACAGCACCGTCGGCACCAATCAAGACGGGGATTCCACAGGGATCCCGCATGTCACCATATCTATACTTGTTTTATAATGCAGACTTCGTAGAAGATTGTAAGACCGAAAAAACGGAAGCGGTAGGATATATTGATGATGTGTCTGTTTTGGCAGTCGGGCCTTCGTCAGCCCATGACTGCAAAACCCTCAAAGCCATCCACCAGAAGGCCGAAGAATGGGCGGTAAAGCATGGCTCAAAATTCGCGCCCGCCAAGTACGAGCTCGTGCACTTCACCAGAGATCCGTCAGCGAACACCACACATGCTCTCCGCCTGCCTCACACCAAGGTGAAAGCGTCCCCGTCTTGCAAGTACTTAGGTGTCCACATGGACACTAGATTGCGATGGGACTACCATCGGGAAAAGCTAGAAGTCGGAGCTACCTCGAGACTATCTGCTCTCTCGGCCCTGGCTTCCTCATCTT